TACTCTGATATGTTCATCTCCGCCAGCTTTGCCTTTAACAAGTGAAAAAGATGGGTTTATCGTATCGTCTACGAGCACAGACGATCCCAGCACAATACCTGGGCGATCGCTTAGGCTCCCGAGTATTGCCCCAATAGTTGCAGCGGTTTTAGCTTCCCTCACAGCACCTGTCGTGCTTGTCTCAACTCTTATAATTGTAACCCGTAAATCACGATGAACTGGAAGAGACGTCCTTGTACTAATATTGGAGCGGAAGTACCGGACAGCTATAGTAATACGGAAAGGAAGATGTAAAGTATGTGTGTGATGGAATGACAGCTATGTAAATAAATATTGTATCATGAGAATGTGTCTATATCGCTCTAATCGACTGTGTAGCCATTCAATTTGATATTAGTATCTACCGTATGGATTAATATTTTAAATAAAACTTAATCCTAAACAATTACGTCAATTCATTATAATATGGGCGTGCTCGTGACAAAGTGAATATTTGGTGAATGTCAGTCTCTGTGTGCTACAATGTCATAATCCATCAAAACCGTACAAAGTGAAATCGGAGATTTCATTGCGGATCCTGTGCCAATCAAGAACTTGTATCCGCCAATTTTAATATTTTTACATGAGATAATTCAATGGCCGATCCTCTTAATCCTGAGGTGAATCAGTTTTGCTTTCACGATCTTTGCCATGGCATGAAGGAGGATATTTACAACCGTTCGGAAGTTATCCGGAGACCGCAAGCGTCATGCATTCAATTTTCCTCAACAAGGTAATATAGAGATACAGTAGATTACAATGAGCTCAAAGTGCCAGAAGCAATTCTAGACTAGATTCATTTTTTAGTAATTAGAATTTTCTGCTATAAATATTCAAAATTCATATCTCAACAAAAAAAAAGAAAGAAAAAGATTATGCGAATCGATTAGAAACATGGAGATATGACTTCTTCGATATGTTTTGGTATGTTTTTCATATGTTTTTAATGTTTTACATAGATGTTTAAACAGAAATAACTGACAAATCAATACCATTATCACAGGTGGCGAAATCGGAATAATATCTTAGCAGAAGAAGTCAGCCAAAACCAATTCGTGTAGAGCTGAAAACTTACAGACAATCAGGTCAGGCTTTATTATACGCTACATGCAGGAAATTTTTCAAACCGTTTGCTCACCTGGGTCCCGAATTAGGGCCGGTCGGATACTGTATATACATCGTATAGGGAAAGCGCGCATATAAGATAGTTATTGTCACTTATAAATTCAACCCAGTCTAATTGAGCAATCTTTGCAGCGATGCGAGTTAAATCTGGAAAAAAAACAAATTATCCGCTATTCACTCAAATTTCGTAACAGTATCAGCGTGATTCGACGTTACGAGAATTCAGCATTTTGCTAATCATGATATTATGTAATATATAGAACAGATTTCATTATATTATATGTTTTCTCTAACACAGATTCTGGCTTTTTTTGAGTTTATTATAAACTTTGGAGAACGACAACGTTTATATTCTTCCATTTTATGAATCCATGACTTTATCATATGGATTCGGGTCAGAACATTTACATGACAAAGTATACTGATGTAACAAATGAGACAATTGTGTCATCCCATTCTGATACTGCTTTCTCTTCTTTTTTGTATCAGAGCGATTGGACATTCCAAAGTCTATAATATCCTGATTACTAATTAAAATGTTCTCTGCTCTATCATTATGAAGAATGCCATGCTTGTAAATTTTATGTCTCTCCAAAGCATTAGCCTCTGTTTTTTGTAATACTTTACAACTACTTAACAGAGTACCAGCAAACTATAACAAAGCTCATCCCACCCATAATATCCATAGCATACTAACTTTGGGATGTATTTCCCTTGAATATCACCCAGATCATAAACTTTCAATTCTAATTCATATAATATTACTTGAGGTGTGTAGGTTATTGAAACAGAGTGATTGAACTGTATATTAATAACCTTCACCTAATGGTGCTTAAAAGTCTCTTTATATTTATCCAGCAAAAATAAGAATTGTTGCACAGTGATGACTTGTGAATAATTATATAGTAATAGCCAAGAAAATATGTCACATTTTATTATATGTATTAAGGTATCTCCTATGGTTTTCAAACAATTTTCTTTCTGGTAAGTTCATTCAGAAAGCAAATTAATCGAATTGTAATGAGAAGAAACTATGATCAAAAAATAGAATGCCTTAAATTCTGTTTATTAACAATATTAATATTGCAAACACACTGTATGACGTCATTGTTAATGCATCTGATTATTATTATATGCAACAAAACCAGACAAAGTGAGCAGTTGATCACATGAACTCAAAATGGCTGATGTGGCTGGAAAATGAACTAATTTAGCTAATAACATTTTGGTGAGACCTTGCTTGATTTATTATTATATAGCTGTGGTTCATGCACCAATCCAGACTAACACTAATTTTTAGTGGCATTTCTAGTTTGAAGTGAATGCAACTAGCATCTGAATATAAAAGCAAGATGAATTCACATTTACCAAAACAAATAACACTTGCTACAACATGTTTTCAACTACACAAAAAGATTGCACATTATTTTTCTAATTGCAAGCAAACCATCTGCACTTGAGTAGAAAACAAAAGGAGAGATTATGGCAAGGAGGATTGCAAAAACAACTAGTCTTAATGAGCCCAAAGAATAGGGACAGTTGTTGCCTTTCAGGCAGGTCTAGGGGCTGACTGCTACCCTCCCTTGCAAGCTTGCAATTGTTTTTTTGATCACTCATGCTAATAATAATAAAACCAATCTTAATCTGTACCTATATATTAATTTTATTGTTACTGCAAAGAATGATTGAACAAATCTTCTCCTTCAGATCAAGTAAACAAGAAATCAACTGAAT